TTGAAGAGAAACAAAAATTAGCCTTCCTAGACATGGAAATATTCAACATAAACAAGAAATTGTCAACAAACTGGTATACTAAAGATATAGCTTCCTCCAGAATTATTAATTACCACTCGAATCACCCCTGGACGCAAAAGAGGAACACTGCTATCAATCTCTTAAAAAAATGCACGCGTTGAGTGACCAGGAGTTCAGCAATGCAAACAACAGAAAGATAAAGAACATATTACACAAAAACGGGTACCCTAATAATATTATAAACAAGCTTATAGCAACAACAACAAACAATCGAAAGTCATCAGGCATGGGCATTGAAGTTGTAAATAAACATGAACACAAAAAATTCGCAGGAGTCACATATATACATGGATTAACGGATAATAAAACATTATACAAAAACATTCGAAGCGAAAATATAACCTTTGTCCACAAACCAAACTACACACTTAGCACAATTTTCAGCAAAACAAAAGACAAAATCAACAAGGAACAACAACACAATGTTGTTTACGAAGTTAAATGCAAAGGAAAGGTTGGCGAAACCTGCAATAAAGTATACGTAGGCACGACAAAGCGAGCACTGGGCGTTAGAATCAACGAACACCAAGCTGACGCAAAGCACAAAAAGACAACAACAGCACTAGCCCAACACTTAACAATTAGCGGACACGCAGCAGACTTCGAAAACACCAAAATATTAGACGTAGAAAGGAGGGAGGACAAGATTATCATTAGAAGGTCTGCGAATACAACAAAGAATACAGGACGCGATGAACTTCAAAGAAGACGTGGATAACATAAATTGCGCATATCGGGCAGCAATTGGACACATTCGACGAGCAGATGAGCGATAACAAACATTAGGCTGTGATATTTTTATTTATAGTTATTTATTAGTGATGTCAAAGTTAAATATGTTAAAATAATTATTGTGTAAGATGTGATGTAAATGTACAGATGTAAGTGTTACCGTCGAAGAATTGTATTTGTATATGTGTATACTGCAATATGTAACATTGTATCTAGTGGTTGTGTTTTTTATGTTTCTTTTCCAAATGAATAAAAACAGACTCCCTTAAGAAGGCGAAAAACAACACCGAAACGCGTAGGAGGAAAAAATGAAACTTATTTTCGCTTTTTTAAACTACCGGCCAGAAATCTCCTAAAATAACAAAAAGTTTATTTTTTACGTTGTCTGGTAAACGTTGTAATATTAGGAAATTGATGAAGATGGAGAACAAGATAAAGATGATGAAATAAAGGTTAAAGAGTGAAATAGCTCTTATCCGACAACGTAAAAATTAACATCGGGTAATAATTGTTATCAAGCAACGTAAAAAATAAACGTCGCGCAATAACTGTTATCAAGCAACGTAAAAAATAAACGTTGGGAAATAACTCTTTTCGGCGACGGAAAAAATATTTCTCGTTTAATAGCTGTTACGAAGCAAGGTTTTCGTTAAATTTCAGAATTCGGGCAACGTTTTCAATCAGCAAATTTGAGATAACAGTTATTTTTGGTCCCTGATTTATTTTGGGCGGATGAAAAATTTTCAGTTGAATTTTTTTTTCGGGCAAAACTTAGGATAAGGCGAATATTTTTCCGACATATAAAGAAAATTCCTCGAAAATTGTGTTTCAAAATTTTAATGTAGCTGATTGATTAATCCTTATTAACGCATATGTGTAAACTAAATGGTCCCATTTGAAAAGACAATCTTAACTAATAGCCAAATATAAATTCAGTTTGTTTAGTAAGTTGAGTGGAGTACTAAACTTAAATTTTTTGACTTGTTTTCATACAAATAGAGGAATAATAACATGAAATCGACACCTGAGTGGACCTATCTCGGCAGTCAGTTCGAAAATGCCCTATTTCAGAAAACTTTTCAAGAACGCCTTATCTCAGAATTCGGTTCTCAGCACATTTTCAATATATTTTCATTTGAAATAGGGCGTTTGTGTACCGACTTCAGAAATAGGGCCTTTTTAAACCAAATTCTGGGATAGGGTTTTTTTCAATAAAATTCTGAAATAGGGCGTTCTTCAATCAAATTCTGAAGTAGGGCATTCTTGAAAAGATTTCTGATATAGGGCGTTTCCGAACTGACTACCGAGATAGGTCGTTCTTCCACTCAGGTGTCGAAATACGACTACTATTTTCTTACTGAGAAGACAAGTACGACAGGCGTATACAAAATTAGTAAATGTGAAGTAAATACATATCGTCAACCTTATGCCAGAAGCATGAATGTGCGAATTCACCAATATTGAGTTATTGGGTTGACTTGATTATCCTTTGGATGTTCTATTTTATACCAAAAGCCAGAATGCCATGCGTACATGGAACTCATATATTTCACAATGTCAATTACATGAATGCAGAGTTGTCTCGTAAAAAAACTTCAAACTTGATTTCCCAAAATTTTAATTTTTACACTTTCATGTTTCTGTCATGCGGGGAACGATATGTACCTGCCGATTTGTTTTACAAAAATTATTTAAAAAGCAGACGTCTCGGTTGCTCAGCAAATCGGCTAATCGTTTCTGCAATTATTTCACATTGATTCTCTAAAACAAAGTTTCGATGTATGCTTAAGATGCAAAAACTTAAAGGTAAATTTTATAAGAAATTAAACTGACAATTTGTTAAAACTAGTAGTAACCCCCGAAATTCAGGTGAATGCAGTAATGAAATACTTACTAAAATTAAGAAATTAAATTTAGGCGTATAATAAAAGGTGATATTAGTAAATATACTTCAGTATTTAGTTGAAGATTTATTTAAAGAGCTTCGTGAAAGACAACAATTAACCTTGTACTGCTAGAGGCTTGATAAACCAGAAAATTGGCGCCGTTTATGGTGAAAGGCATTTAGTATCACACTTTTAATCTAAAGCTTTCTTAACCATCGTATATACTTACAAGTATGGAATCCTATGCCCCTTTTTGTCTATTCTCTTTCTAACAGCGGACGTGCCTGCCAAACAGCGGACGTGCCTGTCAAACTGAAAAGCATGATGGCGGCAGTGTTTGACAGTCACGTTCGACGATGCGAACGGCAATGGAAGGTAAGAAATGGAAGATGGATGAATGAAAAATTATGAAATAGCAGAATGTCGAACCTAAACGAATTTTAAAAATCTGACAATGCGAATGACGTAAAAATGAAAGAAATGCAAAATAGCGAAATGTCGAAACAGATTCAAGGGTTTCGTGCAACAAAAAGAGTTGCTGTGTTGCGCCATTGAATATTTAAACCTTTTTAATGTGGTTAAATTTACTCATACGCTTTTTTACTTAGTTGACAAAAGTACATATTTCGCCAGCCAAAACATATATGTGACCTGGTCTACGGAAAGGGGGCTTAGGTGTCAAAAAATCAATTTTCACTTTCTGGTTGATTCGGATGGAAGATGAGATGCTTTTTCACGTGGTGAAAAGCAGAAAATCCTAACTTGCTTAGAAGTGTACTAAAAATGTAGAGAAACGTCACTTCTTCAGTGTTACTTTTTTAAATGTTCCACACTAGCAACTTACACGATGAACTATAGTAATATTCCGACCAACAACAACACTTACTGGACCAACAACAACACTTACTGGACCAACAACACTTACTGGACGTCCGGCGCGGAGAATAATTAACGAGATAATGAGAAACTGACGAAACGAGTTGCTTACTTTTAACAGCTTTTTCACAGAAAACTAGTTTTCGCACGTAAGCTCCCTTTTCGTAGACCAGGTCACATATATCTACATATGTATTTATATAGCGTGACGCTACAAGATTCATTTATAAAAACCGTATATGCTAGTGGTCTTATTTAAAAAAAAAAAATAAAATAGATTTATATAGCTCTGTACAGTGACATTTTTATAAAAAATTCGATTTTTTAATTTTTTATGAATTGGGTAAAATATTAACTTTGTGTGCACTCTTTTCCTGTTTATTACTTTTCAGAATTTTATTTTCTTTAATAGCCCTTTGACTGAGTTACACCCAGCAAAAATCAAAATATTTTATAAGAAATGTACTGACCTTTTTAAAACGGCATTTAAAGCCTTCTCACACTTCAGTGATGCTTTTTTATTGTAAGTATTATTCTGTTGACATCTAAATTTTTATACATTTAATGTCATTTCCCATAAATTGTTTTCCGGCGTTTCCTCTGTGAATTTTTTTAACTACATTCATAAAAAAATTACTAATTTAGGTTTCTTTTTTCATCTTGGACTGGTACATACGTATGTAAAATGAATTTAAAAACGTCATGTGCCTAATATGCACGATGCAGCGAACGAAGGTGGCACCGTCAGACGTACCGCTAATTTGAATTTGTCGATTTTGATAATTCTGATCTAAAAGTAAACGACGCAGCAGAAACTTTAAATGCACTGAAATTCACTTATACTTCCACAAAAGTTACCGTTTTTTTCACATTTTCCTTATTATTTGTCATTGTATATCATATATTTTTAGAATTTAGCACAATTAAAACCCGTTTACTATCGAAAAATTTATTATTGAGAAAATTTACTGCTCTGGCATTTTCTTTTAACATGCAATTCGGCTTTGTTTACTTTTTGTACAGAAATATCATCGCCACTATGACGGGGCAATCTTGTACTCTTTCTTGTCAAATATGCATTTTGATGTAACTGCTATGAAGCTATGAATACTCATTAAAATCGTTTCAATTCGTAATAAAAGTACATTACATACTTGTAGTCTAAATATATTTTTTAATATAAACTAGCTTTTTTAATTCTAAAAAAATCAATAATCACAAGAATTATAAAAATTTCTCTTCAAAAGATAGATTTCAAAGCATCCCTGTTGATGTCATAATTCAAATACAAATTTGAATAGATATTTTGATGCTAACGATTTTCCGCGATATTCATCATACAAATTTCTTTATTCTTTATTTTCTTCCACGTAAATTTACTCATTACTTTAAGTGGCTTTCATCTTTTTATCTTTTTAAAAAATCATATAAACATGTTGCTCTTGCCAGCTGCAATAGCTTCAATACACTAACAAAAGTGTGAATACCCAGTGCCCAGCTTAGAATAAGAATCCTAGCATTTTGCCTCCCAAATGTTTCCGTCTGGCCTCCTCAAGATTCATAACGCCTCCGGAGGTAGTCAACATAACGTAACCAAATTGACGAGAAGGCAGCAAGTTGTTGGTCTACTTCCAACCATTCCAACCAATTTATGCGATTTAATGGGCCTCATGCATAAAAAATGAGTCTAAGCTCAGACTCAATTTTTGCAATGAAGGGGTGAGCTCAAGCTCAAGAATTTGTACTGAAAATCGAGTTGGAGCTTAAACTCACTTTTTATGCATGAGGCCCAATATCTTTACTGCTACCTTGTGGTGCGTCATTTGATGGTCGCCAATCTTTACTTTACCAAATGTGCCCGTGCCGAGTGTTGCGTCCAGTAAATAGTGGCCAATTTTTACGAGTGCCTGTGGGCCTCTGCCAGTAGCTGCAGCTGCGGCGGCACGTGATTGTGGCATAACGTTAATGTACAATTGGAATTGGATATCTAGAACTGCGTAAGTTTGAAGCGTAACATAAAAAAAGGTTTGGTAAGGTTTTTCGGGCCGCTGCTTAGGCCACAATCGCAAATGCACCCACACATGCGTACGTGCTGGGTAGAGACGTAAATTATAGTTTTCCCCGAGCTCCAGTTTCTTATCGCACTATTATTTTCCTTATCACTTATAATTCTCTGCCACGATTTGCGCTGCTCGGGCCACGGCTGCTTGTACAAGAAAATAAACCATTTGTTCAAACGACCGGTCAAGTTTACTACAATTTTGCCGGAACGATGATCATCTTACTTCTCCGTATGTCGCTCTGGAAAGAAATATATATTAAATTATATGGTTTCTTAAAAATAAAAGCAAATCTACCTAATTTTTCCACCGGTAGGCACGAATATGATGTTCAAAACAGAAACAATGACACATTGTTGTATTTTAGCGCAAAACGATAAGTTTCACAAATATTTTAAATTATTGCCTGGAACATACACATTTATCGTTATTATTGGAAATGCAAGACTTGGCATGCATTTTTAATTTCTTACTTAATGAGTTCAAATGAATAAAAACACATTTTTCTAAAATATTTCTCAATTTACATTTTAAAGTTTTTTCTGAAACTTGAATGTAACTCTGTGCGGAGAATGAGAGAATTGACAATCAGGTGATCTCAGCTATTTTCAAATCTAAACAAACAAAATGGCGCTTTCCATACTTGTAAGCCTATACCCCTGTTCTTAACCCTTTCAGTATAAAATTTCAACCACTAATTCTAAAAATTTTAAAATATGTACCCCAGTAAAATAGATATATGTGCATCAATTATTGTTTTTTTTTTGTTTCTTAACACTTGCTTCTTTTATTTGTGTTATATTGGTTTTGATTGGGTATTAGTAAGTCCTATTTAGTAAAACATAAACGTATTTCAAATTGACATTTTGTAAAAAGAAAAAAAATTTGCTCCATTTTTTTCATAGAAAGTGGATATATGTTCATTACGCAAAATGTTTAATTTGTAAAATATAAATATATTTCAATGAAAGTTTTTAAATATTTTAATATGAAGTGGAACCGCCATGTTGGTCTGCGATTAGTTTCAGTCGGTGTGGCATTGAATTAGCCAATTTTTTTAAAACGACAAGTCTATCTTCTCCCATTCCACTACAATTGCTTGCTTAAGCTTCAAGGTGTCGTATTGCTTTGTAGAACCGAAAATTTTTGCAGACAGAATGCCCCATAGATCCTCTATCGGATTAAGATCCGGACTTAAGGCCGGCCACTGTAACAATGGGATATTGCGCGATTCGTAAATGCCAACGTACACTTTGCAACGTGTATCGGTGCGTTATCCTGCTGAAACATCCAATTGTCGCCATGAAATTCTTCTGCAAATGAAATGAGCTCAGAATCCAATAACTCGATGTACATTTGCGCGTTCATACGGCTTGGTACGAAGCAAATTGGAGATTTTCCTTTAGCGCTGAAGGCAGCCCACACCATAAGGGATCCACCGCCATGATTTCGCTTGTAGCAAGTCTGCCGGGGATGTCGTGGACCTCTGCAATACTTATGATGTCCATCTGGGCCATCTAAGTTAAATTTCTTTTCATCGCTAAATATAACTGTTTCGAATTTGTCGTCCCAGAATTTATATTTTTCATAGAACGCCATGCGCGCCTTCTTGTGTCGATCGGTTAGGCGTGGCTTAGGCACTTTACACTCATAATGGAGGTGCAAGTCCTGCCTCAAAATTTGTTGAATGCGTTGTCGCGTAACTTGAAGACCCAATTCCGCCTTGATTTTGGAGCAACTCATCATATCAAGCGTTGCAAGCTGGCAAATACGCCGTTTGGTCCGCTCATTTATTGTAGGTTTTGGTCCGCTACGTTTATTTATCTTGTAACCTTCAGGACTCTTTAGGTAATTTCTTACAGTATTCCGATGACGATTTGTTACAGCAGCAATTACGCCTATTTTTATTCCATCTTCGTTCATGGTCTTAATTTTGATCTGCTCTTCAACTGAAAGTTCGGTACCACGCGGCATTTCGACTAACACGTTAATTTGTTTTTGTATTTATTGTGATAGCCTATTTTTGTATTGTTGCTTACAAACCTGTTTTTTACGATTATTACTTAGATCGCGGAGATGTTTGCACTACAGCACTCGGAAAATAATGAAGCATTTTGCACATATAACTATTTTCTATGAACCTCGCAACCTGTGTCCGCGTTCAATGCTAACGGTACCATAAAAATGCAGTTATCAACAGAATGTACGTCGAATAGAAACAAAACGTGAGTACAAGATCATGCGTACTCAAACAGAAACAAGCAGTTATTTTTATTCGAGAAAATCGAAAAACAGTTTCTGCACATATACCCATTTTACTTAGGTATACCGGCTGATTTTGTATCATTCATTTTAAAAGTCCCATCAACAAGTATGTAGAACTTTGGGCTTTGCCGTCATTCAGTGTCCTT